ATATATGAAATTTTTTAGTATAAAAATATTATTTTCACTTATAAACTTGTTGAATTATTACGCATAACTTCTTTTTGTATTGATAATCACTTTAAGTTCGAGTACAAAAAATATGTTATGATTATTATCGATGATTGAAATAAATTTATATAAGAATTATTTCTAGATAAATATTTTGAGATCATTAAGGTGATTTGTAAGAAAATATAAAAATATAGTTTTATATTTTTGCTATATTAAAAATAGCCATCTTAAATCATTTGGGAATAAATATTTTAAAAATAAAATTATATTTTTTTTTTGTGATTTTTAACTTTAACACGTTTCAACAAAATGTTAATGCATTTCATTAATTTTTGTTAATTATAAAAACTATTTTTTATTATATTTAACTTAAATTTATTTATATTATTTTATACAAAACAATAAACAAACAACTTAAGCATTACTATAATTCAATTATCAATTCATAACAATACCTGAGTGTATAAAATATTGTTTTTCTACTTTTAATGTATGAAATATGTTTTTCATTTTATTATTGTTTTCTTAATCCCTTTTTAAAATTATAAAAACTTAGAGTTTGAATTTTAATTCTTATTTACAATTTCAAAAGAAGTTTAATTAAGTTACCAAATTCATCCCATTTTTACAGCATAGTAAAAAATGTGTAAATTGAATCTAGGTGCCTAATAAAAATTATAAATTATAAAATGACAATAATTTAAGGTTAACATTTTAAAATTTAAAATATATATCTTATAAATCATATACTAGCATGTGCATCAAAACAAATTAGTCCCGACATGTTTACAATAATAAAAATTTTCTAACATTTTTGTAGTAACTCTGAATGTTTGTAGTTTATTTTTTACAATTATTTTAATTTTTTTTTATGTCATATTACTCTTATATTGTTATTTCTTTTCTTTTTTATATCTTTCTTTTTTTAATATATTTTTTAAGGTGTCAAATGATCATTATTTCTTTTGAAATAGCAAATCAAAACACTAATATATAAAAACATAATAAATTAATATATTCATCAGTCATAAAAATAAGTTGTTAACAAAAAATTGTATATTAATAATTGTTTGACAAATTATTATATTTTATTATAATAAAATAATGATGATTCAAATTAAAATAAAATTTTATTTTCAACTAATAATAAAAAGGACTTCTCAAATACATAAATTTTAATTCAACAAGTTAGTTGATAATTTTAAAAGACAAATGTTTCTAAGATATCTTTAACATTGATATAAAAGATATCATAGTTATTATCAGATGAAAAATAAATATAAAAATATTTAAATTAAAGGACATAAAGTTACACTCAACTACAAGATGCTTAGGAAACCTCCTAAACTACAAGATGTCTTGTGTAATACTTTGTTAATTGTGACTTTAAACAACAAAAGTAATTTTTTACCAAACTTTTGCAAAGTGAGTTGTTATATATCTTTTGCCTTACATTATTAAAGAAAATTGCATCATAATGATAAAATTAATAGTCTTTTTAGCCTTACCTAGAATAGATAAAAAAAAAAAAATAACTTATCATACACAAAAGCAACTATAACTTTTAAAAAAATAGCTATAATTTTTTATTCTTTTAAAATTTATCAATCTTGTCATCTAAAAGTTATATTTATTGTGAATAATAACAATGAACACAATTTAACTTAAACCTTTTTTTTACTAAAGACAATCATAGAACTAAACTAATGATATAACAAAGAAGAACGAAGTAAAGTAATAATTTGTTTTATATAAAAACTACTTTAACACTATAAATTTCTATTTTCTTATCTTATTTTAAAAATTATTCTTAAAAACACACACTCTCTCTCTCTCACACACACACACATATATCATTCCTATGTAACAATGAATCATTCATTTATTGTTTAACCACTCAAATTATATACTTTTTTCTCTATTTTTATTTAATTCACATGTTTATAATTTTCTGATTTTTTTTTATCATATTTAATCTCTTCGTTTCAAATTCATTTTGGTACAATAAATACTGCTAACAAAATTTTTCATAGTATTAGTTAAAAAAATTAATAAATATAGTTTTAATTAAAAACTATATTAATATATTGAAAATTATTATGCGAGGGCATCAAAAATACTTTTTATATAAATTTTCTTGCTTTAAATTCTTTAATTAACCTTGGTTACATTAATATGAGACAATAAATGTAAAAGTAGTACAAAAATTATGGGTTTATGCATCATTTTCTGAATTAAATAATTGAACGTAGTTAAGAGATCAAATTTGTTACCCAAATTTAGTGATTATCTCTTTAGGTGCTCCTTACTTTTGGTTACTTTTTCTTGTCTTTCCTTGAACTATCATTATTGAGTAACGATATTTGCTCACTCACTTTTTGCAGCATCGTTTTGCCTATTTGGATATAGATCAAAAGCCACAAAATTCATATTAGAGCATGATTTTATTTTATTTTTCAAAAAGTGACGTAAAGATTTTTAATGTGTATAGGAAAAATATTATTGCACAAAAATTTCACATCTTTATCACACTAGTTATGTTTCAAGTATTTGTTAACGTCGTGTATCCACCGCCAATGTCTATTTTAAAAATTGGTGACTTGCTTGAAATGTATTCACCAATCAATTACACTATTAATGATTAATTATAAGTTTTTGTTGAGCGATGTAACAAGGTATGAAAATTTAGTGCAACAGACCTTGTCATATGGAAAATATTAATATTGGATGAAGAATAAAATGGGACAACAGCTTTGATTTTGAAATGCATTTTAATGTTAAACTAGTATTTTTTTTAAAGTGCATTATACAAATATCATTATATTAATTTTTAAATAAATAATTAAAAATATATTACATAAAATTAGAAGCCCCAATTTATACAAAGAGGTTTATATAATTATAATAATAAATATTCAATTACAAATAAATAAATTATAAAATATTCAAAACTTAAATTAATATCAAAGTTCCATAATAGAGGATATATATATAAAAAAAACTTCCATAATGTAAAAAACTCATTCTTAGAAATGTTCTCGTTTAAAAATATTTATAAAAACTATTCGTTTAAATCTCATCTAACAAATATAAGTCAGAAATTGATTAGTTTTATTAATATATTTTTTAATAAAAAATTAAAATTATGTTATAGACATTGTAAATTCATACTAAAAATAAAATATCAAATATTAGCATACTTTATTATTATTTTATAGATCTTGAAAATTAATATTGACAATTATTTTTGAAAAAAAACATATCATAACATTTAGTTATCTTTCTTTATTAATGAATAACATGTTTTTGAGAAAACCAAAAAAAAATAATATATATATATATATATATATATATATATAATATCAAATTCAGTATAAAATTCATAGGAATAATAAAACTTTTGTAATATTTGGATCACAGAAGTAAACTTGGGTTTGAACTTGGATGGTTTGTACGGAGCAAAGCAAAAAGAGAGAGGCATGCGTCAGAGTGTGATAAGATTTTGTTTATGTATCCTTATCACGAGGGTCTGGCATTTTCAACTTTTAGCTGTAGTGGGTCTATAAAGAACACAATATTAATGACCCCATCTTGGCATCTTCCATACCCATTTTCCCATCATAATAGAGCACAATTTTTCCATGAGATCAAACCATCACAACAAGCATTGGACCCTCTCTTCAGATTTTTTTTTCCTCACTAGATATATCATTGTCCCATGCCTCCTCAAACATAGTAATTGTGTGGCTTATAAGGTTGAAGCTTTCATTTTAGATATCGCACCTTTCTCCTCCCAAAGATTTGCTTAGGAAACAACCAAGTATACATGGACCCTCCATTGAAATTTATTCTTAAACATGAATCACGAAGAAAAAAGTGACTATTTTTTGCTTGTCCTTTTGACATAAGGGTCCTATGCAATATCTTTTGTACTCCAGAGTTTATTGATTAATAATACAGTAGCTTAAGGCAAGTTTGGCTGACATTGGTAAAACCTTATCTTTTGGTTCTTCCATAAACAAGAACAACCTCAGTATACTATCCTAAGCATTCTATTTAGGTCACTCAGCATTCCAAAATTTATAATGCAATCAGTTGTGTATATATATGAAACTTATTATAGTGAAGTAGGAAGCACAAATATCCAATTAACAATCGTCGCATGCAAAAATACTGCTTCAACGATGAATGATTAGATTGAGTGATTTCAAACGATTAAGAAAATAAATAAGACAGAGCAATTTATTTTACTACAAAACTAAACATTGTGCCAAAACAGGATTAAAAATTTTCATAAACTGAATTTGGTACAATCAAATAAAGAAACTAAAATTTCTTAAGAGGAGGTAACCAAAAGTGACATTTAGAATTGAAGTCAAGGAAGACTCGTGTCAACAATCATCCACTCAATCCCAAATGTCAAACAAAAACAACCAAAAGCTTGACGACTTAACCTAAACCATGTATAATCATCAAAACCAACAATCCCTACCCGATCAAACACATTGAAACAAACAAAGATTATATATGATTATACATTGTTTATTATTGACAAAGATTACACTCATACACCTTAATGTTTAATTAAATTTTACTTAATATTCTTTTTTCTTTTGACTCTTATAAATCTTTTCTAATTTACATAATAACGTAATTTATATATCTTTATTGATAACATAGGCATTCTCTAATTTCTTATATAATTATATAAATTAAAAATATTAAAGTAATATAAAAATATAGTGAAATTTTATTAAATTTTAAGGAATATAAATATATATTATTATTATTATTAAAATTATATTTTTTTAGTATATGTTCAAGACCACATAAAAAAAATTTATAAATAGTAAATTTTTATTAAAATTAAAATTTAATGCGATACCTTACATAATTTAATACACAAATAACATTAAGTAATCCATTTTTAATAAACATATAATTTATTAATTTTTATTATCCATCCTTCAACACATGTAAGAAAGTTGATAATATTATTATCAATTATTAATTGACGCATCTCAAATTTGTTTGCACTGAAATAATTAATACCCAATGGATCACTCAGTATCAGCCTGTGTAGGAGTTCCTTGCATGGTGGAGAAGCAGCTATTAGATCTACCAAGTGGTCGACAAGTGAACCTTTCCTTCCTAGGAGAATCCAAAGTACGAAACAAGATCTGCTTCATAACGAGGATGAAATCATCGTTGGTGTTGTTGGGAGGATTAGAAGACTTAAACTGTTGATAGAACTTTATGTGTCGTTTAAGCGCTTCATCCATTGAAATCACAATCTTCTCTCTCTCCCTCTCTTCCTTCACCGCCTCAGCACACAACCCGCAAACCCAACGACCCTCGTATCTTTCCCTCACGCGCGCAATGTACGCGTGCGTGCACTCCTCCACCAACCCGCAGCAGCAGCATTTCACCGACGACACCGCCGTGTCCACCTCCGTCGCCGCCGCCTCCGCCGCCGACATAGATTTTGTTTCCTTCATAACTTTCGTCGCCATTTCCACGTTTCTCATTGCTGTTTTTGATACAAGCAATTAACATGGAAAATCAACGATTATGAATTAGCATGCACAAATTAAGAAGAAAGTTTAACGGATGTGGTTTTTTTATCGTTTCGATTCTTACATAATCGATTATTCTCTGTTAACAATACGCACAAAACTTAATTCAAACAAAACTAATTCCAGTAAAAAAAATATACAAAACAATTAACTAGTGAATATTTTTTCTAATATCGAATAATTTCTATTGAGAATAAGTGACAAAACATCTGGCTAACACAATTTAATTTAAGAACATATTACTAGAATATAAGGAATTTGATTAATATGATTATTATATGTGCAATTAGTTCAAAAGGTGAAGAATATTTCGAAAAGTTACGATGATATATATGATGGAGAACATTATTGTAAATGCTAGAGTTTAATTTACCGTGTGGGAAAAATCAGAAGCGGTTGAATTGAAATTGGAAGCTCCTAAGAGATAGATAATGGAAGGATCTGAAAAGGTAGGAATATCAAATTATGTGTATGGTTTGTGGGAATTATCGCTCCTTCTCCCACTGGATTTCTTGAACCTTTTCGCCGCCGAAAATCAAAAGCACGAATGGAGAATAGAACATATCCCAGAGCCTTAATGGGCTCTCTTGATTTGTTGTTGAAATGGAATGGAACAAGCAACACTTGCTCTACGTACTGAAATTTGAAAGAAGAAAATGAATTGGTGTTGTGAGTGATGGATCTGCTTTGGTTCCTCTTAGCATGTGCGTGTGTGAACAAAGGGAGAGATATATATGGATTGAAAGATAGATGGAGATGTTTGTGTTGTGATTTATGTTTCAAAGGTTAACCGAATGGAAAGCTTTCCAATCATTGGAGGGAGGGGTTTGGTGGCTGCTTGGTAATTAGATTTACCCATTTACTTCCTGACACCATCCTATATATCTTTTATATTATATTATTCATGAGTCCCCGTAATAATAGATTGGATTATGAACATTTTTCTAAATAGGATATTCTTTAATTTTGTAAGAGAATAATTCTCAATTTTTCTTTATTAAATATAGATGTTTTATATATATTTTTAGATAATAAAGTAATACATAAATTTTATTTAATAATTTATAAAATAATAAAAAATAAGTAAAGAGAAATCAACAAAGTTCTTTGTAATATGAAAATGATACATTCAAAAGGCGTAAATTGGATTAAAAAATATATATTTAATAATGTGATAAAAATAAAAATAAAAATAAAATCAAATCAAAACAAAGTAAAAGTACTGTAAGAATGTGAGGATATAATTATTATACAGTTAAGAGGTCATATCTTGAAGTTTTTATTAGTTCCTTTAAAATTTGATAATTGTAAGTCTATAAATATTGGGTTTTCTTGAAATTGGATATTCTTCGTTGAAACCTTTATCAACAAAAAAAAAAAAAACAGCTGTCATCATTATTTAAAGGAAAAATGAAAATAGGAAATTAAATTTAAAACTAGAAAAAACTATTAATTAAATCTTTAAAAAGGATTTTTATTAAGAGGATTTATCATTTAAAAAAGGTGGAAAAATATTTATTAGAAATGGAATTTACAAACATTCAAATGCATGTATTAAATGCACTGCCTGGTTAGATTTTATTTTTTCTTTAAGAAACTTATATTTTAAGTCATAATTTGACGTATAAAGCTTGTTATATATATATATATACACAGAGAGAGAGAGAGTTGTTAATTTGAACCGATTTGTCTTGGGTCTATCATGGGCCAGCTAGCTAACCGGTTAATAAGAGATGACAAATGTAATGATTGAATGAATTTTCGATTAGATTAGCGACGCAATCAAGTTAGGTTAATTTGAATCTAGGAAATTTCAAAGTCTAAACCAATTAATTTAAGGCAAAACGAATTGAATATTTGAATTAGATCGTTTTTGTGAAATATTGTAATTTAAATAAAATTAGATCAACCCTAGTGTGAAACAATTAATGTAGGTTGACTATTTGAAAGTCAAAACCAATTAATTTAAGACAAAATAAATTGAATATTCTAATTGGATCGTTTTGAGATAAATAAACTATATCAACCTTAATTTCAAATGATTAATGTAGGTTGAATAATATATTTTGGCTAAAATATTACATTCAAATTTAAAAAAGTTAATAAAATTTCTTTTAATATTTCTCCCTTTCTATAACGTTTCAGTTTATTGATTTTTATATTTAACTGCATAAGAAATTTAGAAAAATGTACTATCGAAAAGAATGTATGATAAAATATTTTTCTATAAATTAAAGAAAATTTGTATAAATAAAAATAAATAAATATAGTTTTATTAAATTTTATGAAGCGTAAATATAATCTATCCTATTTAATTTTGTTTTAAATTTGGTAATATTAAAATAATATTATTATTTTTGAAAAAAAGTGTAACACAAAAATCAAATGCAAGTAAATGCATGTAGACTTTCATTCGTCCATTCTCTAAAACTATGAATATCCATTTTATCCGGTTAATGTATAGTTGGCACACACAAAATTCAAAGATATTTAGAGTTACGTATCAATTCATGAACCTATTAAAATAAGAAAAAAAGTGCATATTGGAGCAAGTGAAAAAAAACAGAGTATATGCAATATGCAACCTACTATCTAGGTCGAAATTATCCTCTTAACTAAATGTTACAATCTTGTGCAAAGGAAACTTATGATTGAGCAAAAACTTATACTATTAATTTGTGTTTAAAGAAATCGTTTTATGTTTTAAAAAAATTAAAACATACCCAATAACTAGTATGATAAAAAAAAAAAAACTATTCAATAACTAAGTTATACATTTCTATACATTAGACTCTGTTTGAGTTGTTTGTTTGAAGTTCTTAACATGACAATTTTTTTTTTAAAAATCAACATTTTATTAAAAAATTAAAGTTTCTAATTAATATTCCTAACATGATGTTTAAACTCAATTTCTTTTATTCTTTTAATGAAACTTGTAAATATGATATTTTGTTTATTAAAACATACCCAATAATCAGTTAAATAAAAAAAATTGTTAAAAATCTTAAACCTCCGAACTATTAATCATGATTAATTAAATATTAAGAGAAAAGGTTAAATGTTGCAAGGCTTTGTATATTAAAGCAAATTATGTAAAATAAAAAATATCAAAGCGATTTACTAAAAGATTTTATTATTATTATTATTATTAGATAATTTTGTTACACTAAATATCCAAATAAACTCTCTGAATTTGTTTAGATGTGTCATTCTTTAAGAGAGAAAAGAAAAAGAAATAATAATTTGTTTATGATTAATTATTGTTTGAGAGTTAATTAAAAATAAAAGAAAAAATTAAAAATATTTTCTAAACTCTTAGGAATCTTTTTTTTTTAAATTCAATAAAGAATTAAAATGACTTATTTATTCTTATTTATGATTATTCCTTTTTTTATTTTCTCCAAACTCTCTCATTCTTTCTCTCCCTTCTTTATCGCCCTATACCCCTATCTCTCCCTCTCTCTCTCTCTCTCCCTTTCTCCCTCCTTCTCCCTCTCTCTTTATCACTTTCTTTTTCTCTCTCATTCCCTTTTTTCTGTGTCTTTATCTTTATTTAATTTATTATATTTTAATTTTATTATTAAATTAAAAAAATAATAAAAAATAAATTTTTTAAAAAAGTGTGATGTTAATTTTAAATAAAAAATAAAAAATATTTTTCAAAAAATATTAATTTTTAAAGTAAAACTTTTTAACAAATTATAAAAATTAAAATATTTAACATTATATTTTTTTGACAAAAATATGAATGAAAATATATAAAAGTAGTAATATTATTTGTATCATTAAACATAGTTAACCCTCTTCTTAATATGAAATACTCAAACAAAAGAAGAGTAGCCTCTGTATCTCTCTTCTTTTTCTCTCCCTTATTCTTCAAATAATTTCCTTCTCATCCTTTCAATCTTTAAAAAAAACAAAAAACCTTAATTATTAATAAGAACAAAACAGCCAATCGTGCAGCAATTGCCTTGCCTATTATTGAAGCCAACCGTGTAACTTAGGGTTTTGTGTTTTGTACTAAACTCACAAAACCATGGGCGCGTGACCACACATTGTGTAAGTAGGACAGAGTTTGATAAGGGATGGGATGGGCACTCTACACAGTTCTCAGTAATGTTTCCGTCAATCTCTTCGCCATGGGCCTCTCAATTGTAAACCCTCACATACTTCTTTGTCCTCTTTTCATCACATGAATTTCATTCATCATTGCTTTTCTACTTTTCTTTCTAACTTTTTTTCTTTTTAACCCTTTTTATTCCACATCGTATTCATTAACTTATACCCTATTTTTATAATTATTGGTTCACACCCATATATTGAGCTTAGGGTGGGTGGAGAAAAGAAAGAAAAGAAAAATAAAATAAAAAAAGAGATAAAGTAAGAAATATCGATCTGATAAAAAAAATAAAAAAATTTAAAGAAATGAGTATGAAAATATAAGAATTATATATTTTTTAAATAATGATATTTTTTCACCTATTAAAAGGATGTGAAATAGATGTAAGTAAAAGAGATAAAATATGATATATATATATATATATATATATATATAATAAATGATGTGATAAGAAGAAAAAATAGATATAAATAAAATAGAAAAAATAAATCTATATTACTATTCTATGTTTATCTATCTTTTGTTATAAATTTAATTAATATATATTGATAATGTAAAGAATTTGTAGGTTGAATCTTAAATTATCATACTAACTAGGATTGGTAACTTTTATAGTATTAAAATTTAAAAGTCGTATTTACATTACAACATAATAGTTGAAAATGTAAATTTTTTTATACTTATACAGTACATCCAAATTAATTTTGTTTATTTATTTCACACTTTATATTACATTACATCATTTATCATTTTTAAAAATTTTTTTTTCATCTTTCTATATTCATTTTTCTGGGGTTATACATAGGCGAGCTAGACCACCAAAACAACCATCCTACAACAGCATAGACTATTTTAATTACATTTTAGTGAAAAAAGTTCAATTTGTCTTTTCTTAAATAATTAAATTATAAAGCCTTTGGAATAAGATAAATTATTGAGTATGCACATGAAATAAAAATTCTCAAGTTTTCACTGATTTCCGTAATCATGTGCTAAAGAATATTTGCTTGCCTTTGTCACACACTCTCTGGGTTGTGTTGCGGTTGCCGTGTAAGAGTTGGCAACTGTTCAACTGTTCCGGTAAGTGGACAAACCCTGCAATGTATAAAATACAAATCTAGTGGGACCCTCCCTCTGCTAAAATATCAAACAAGAAAAATAAAAAAAAGTTTCTATTTTCACATAAATTATGTAATTTTTTTAATATAAAAAGGGATAAAAAAAAAAAGATGAAAATAATATTTTTAAAACACTATATAAATTTGTTAACCTAACACAAAAGCATACTGATTAATAGCGTTCATCCCATCTCCTGTGCTAGTATGTTTGATTTAGGAGAGCAATAAGGAAAAAACTAGTCTAAATAAAAAATAATAATAATAATAATAAATAAGACATTTTTAAGGTTATTTGATAAAAAGAAAATGGCAGATATTAATAAAAGATACTAAATAAAAAATTAAAATAAGTTTTTCATCAAAAATTGTTATCAACATATATCCTCTATTATTTTTATCGAACTTCCAGCGTGATTTTTAGTGATAATTTTTTTATTTGTTAATCTCTTAATTAATATTATTAAGATATTAGTCTGAAGAGTCTAAAA